GGCTCACGCGGGGCGCCGCGGGGCCGAAGGGGGCGACGCGACCCGGCTGCACCCCTGCCCTATTCCCGAGTGGGTGAGAATAGGAGGAAAGGAGACGGGGGTGGGGTGGGTATCGGGGGCGGATGCCAGCGAGACTCAGCTGACGGTTCTGTTGCTGAGGGAGTCACTGTTTGGGCGCCCCAGCTGGAGGCCCGGACTCCACGTGGGGTGGGGGCGGGCTCCTGGCTAAGGAGTTGATCTGGGATGGAATCGAACAGCTTGCCTGGCGGGTGTGTGTGAGCCAGCAGCTCTGGGTAGGTGGTGGGTATCAGTGGGGAGGGCGTGGGTGGTCTCCTCTGCGTCTACAGGGTGTGAGGCTGTGGGTTTGTGGTGGCTGGCCTCAGCAAATGTATTGGTGAGGGTTCCTGGTCTGTGACTAACAACATAACAATTCCATCGATTATTGCCAACTTACCATGCACTTCATACACCTTAATTCACTTGATCACCCCAATATGAGTTTTCCCTTATTATCCCCATTTTATAGACAAAGAAGGTGAGAAACAAAGAGGTCAAGGAAACTGTTCTGATGTCACACAGCTGTTTCAAATTCAGGCAATCTGACTCCAGGACAGACATTATCTGAGCCACGATGTGGGACAAGAAAGTGGGCTAGACCCAATCTCGGTGAGGGTGGGGGGTGTGGGGGGAGGAGGGGCAGCTGCATGTGGGATTGTGCACTTGAGCATATTTCTGTTCCCTACCATGTGCAGGTCTGGAGAAGAGGGACCTCTGCATCCACGTACACCTCTCTGACTTAGGGGAGCAGGTCAACTTAGGCTTAGGCCTGGAATGAGGGTGGCCTGTCCCCTGGTGATCAACCCATACCTCCTTGCACGTTGGCATGTCAGCTTGCAGTGGGATAATTAGGAAGAGAAACGAGAAACTTGGTAGCATTGATAATAGCTGGTAAGAGCCTTACCTGTCTCTAGTGTGTCATTTTGGACCAGATAGAAAGTAGCCTCAGATCCCAACCCAGTTCCCAGACCTCTGCCCCTGCCCTTCTGAGGTGCCCCTGGCAGGGCACTCATGTGGGCATCTTCCTGGCCAGGCTCTAGGGGCTGAGTAGGATGACAGGGCTGTTTGCACCTTCTGCAAGGGAGAGAGGGCACACTCTACCCCACCCACCTCCTACCACACGCCAGCACCAGCTGGGAATGTTGCTGATCGTTGGGGAACACTCTCCTTCCCTTTGCTGCCTACCTCGTCTTCAGCTAAGGTACCTGCCAGCTCCAAGACCAACCTGGGGAGCGAAGTCCGGGCTCAGACCAGGAATGTGTCTGCAAACCTCTGCCCCTCTATTCCTTGTACATCGGTCTGTGGGGGTTTAAGGGGCCAAGTGAGAATGTGGGTGTGAATGTCAGTAGCTCCCCCTTTACTTTACCACCCTCGGCCCCGTTGCTCTCTCTTTAGCCTGGACACCTGTGCATATCTGACCGCAGGAGTGGTAGCTCGGGAGTTGCCCCCTACACCCACCCTTTGTGGCCCATGTCTTGCTTTCAGGTGTGATGCTTCCATGTCTAATGGATGCAGGAGACTGTCCCTGCCTGAGAGCCAGGGCCCACGGCAGAGCCGTCCTGTCAATCGGTTGTCATGGCCGGGTGTGGAGAGGCTGTCAGGGCTCAGTCAGAAGCCAGGTGGGATGGGCCCGTGTGCCCGTTGTCTGGCCACAGCCCTCCCCTGCTGCAACTCCACCCATCTCTTCTAATGTTTGCCTGCATCTGTCCACTGAGCCTCAGACCTCCTAACCCCTGACCTTCATACTGTGGTCTGGGGAGGGAAGACTTGTGGAGCATATCTCGAGCTCTGAGAAGATACCAGGCAGCTGTCAGGCCAGGCCTCTCCTCTGTTCGGAGCTTGAGGAGGAGGGCCTCCCAACTCATCTGCAGGACCACCCCTTACTCACCTCTGGCCTCTTCCATCACACACCGGCCCACAGTAGTTAAAGAGTGGCATGGGAGGTCCCAACTCTGGCTTTCAGGGGAGGTGTCCAGCTGACAAGGTGTGGTGTTTGACCTAGCTCACCCAGCCTAACCTCCATGCCACCACCTGGTTCCACCCATCTCTGGGGGACCAGGGACCCCTCCTGAAAAGACCCTGACTGTGTCCAAAGCTCCCTGCAGGATCCCCTCTCCTCCAAGGCCACTCCCTGATTCCAAGGAGACTCTCTTCCAAGCGCTGCCTGGGGCCTTGGCTGATCAGGACAGTTCACCTCGACCCCACTTGTTTCCCCCGTTCTTTGGAAATACGGGGCTACGGGGCTCAGAGTCACTTTACCGCGGGGACCAGGCATCCTCACCTGGACATCATATCTCTCCCGCTTACTCCAGCTTGTCCGCTTGTGTCCTGGTCTGGCACCTGGGCCCACACATTCCTCTGCACGTCTCACACTGGAGCCAGAGGCCAGAGAGACAGAATTTTGGCGCTAGAATCACCTGCCTCGCCTTCAGGTCTGGCCGCACTCCCGGAGAACGCAGGTGGGGTCGGCGGCCATAGCCCCTCCTCTGTTCTGCAGAGGTCCCGCCCCCGCCTGCCTGCTGAGCCTCGGCGGCTCCATCGCTGCTCGAGGTACCCCTCGCTCGGGGCCCTGCGCCGCTGCTGCCGCCAGGGAGGGAAAGGGGATCATAAATAACCCGCGGGGCGGCGCGGGCCTGCGGTACAGACGGTGACCCGAGACGTCCCCGGGGAGCGCGGGGGCGGCCCGCAGACCCTGCTGCCCCCAACCCAGGCTCGGCCAGCCTTGACCACCCCCTCTGGCGCTGCCTGGCGCTGTTCACTGTTGGCGCCCCTGCCAGAGCCCTCCCTCCCATCATGGAGTGTCTGCCTGCCCCCTCTCCAGACCGCCCCCTTAGAGCCCCCTTTTCACCCATTCCTTCATCAATCAATCATTTATTGAGCACCAGATGTGGTGAAACCCCAGGAAGAGAGACCCAGAGGTGAGGCTGGGAGAAGAGAATGCTGCAGAGGAAAACAGTGTGTCTCTGAGAGGACAGGTGCAGAGCCACGCCTGCCCCCTCACCCTCCGTTTTCCTGTGCTCACCCAGGTGACTGAGGGGGTGGGAGAGCAGGCCCAGACCTGCCCAGACACAGGAAGGTATGCAAGGACTGATAACAGGGGCCCCACCACAGGTGGGCACAGCTGACACTGAGCTGTGAGGAGGAAGCACAGACATCCATGTTCCCATACAGGCACCCACAGTGACCAACAGATGCATGCATTCTCAAAAGCACACACAGACAATAGCCCACACGTACTCACACCCATATGCATGCACAGCAGCTCCCGAAGTTGCTCACACAGGACAGGTGCACGCACAGATGCTGACATTCTCGCCACTAACATGCAGAGTATGTGCTAACTTACACAACAGCCAAGACGGAAGATACCACCAAGACCTGTGGGCAAAACACACACAGACACACAGGCCTGCAGCGTGAGTGCCAGATGGATACAGTTGTCATGCCCAAGACAGCTTGTCTGGTGCGAGGGTCTGGTTTGCAGCACTGTTCCACCAGGAAGGGTTAACCTGGGAGGTCAGAGGTTAGTGGCAAATCAGCTGGGGCTCCTTCAGACACCTCTGCAAGTGTGGTCAGAGCGGAATATGTCTGTTCCTGTCTCCAGGTCAGACACAGGGGGCAGGGGGGGCTGTCCTGCTGGGACACATGCCTTGCCTTTGGCCAGCCATGAGCTGAGTGCAGCTCATGCCATCTCTCTCTCTTAGGAAAGAAGAAGGTGTTTCTGAGGTTAGTCTGTCCACTGACTTTAACTTATGCCATTTAAAGAAGCAAAGAATTAGGGCCTGGGTACTCAGACTTGGGGCACCCACAGAGCACACACTATCAGTCACATGTACCGTGATATCCACCTGCCACGGGACACATGCTGGCATATTCACACCTTTCTGATGCGAGCCCAGTGACATGCATGTGCCCGACACACCACAGGGTGCACCATACGCTGGTGCCGTCACAGAGGACGCTGCTGTCTGTCGATACGGGTGGGATCATTGGCCACCGCTGGCTCCGCAGGCCTGGTCCCTTCTCAAGAGGCATGGAAACAGCTGCTTGCTGGCATCACTGGGGGCAGGGAGCGGGCCCTCCTTAG